TATTGTTGTAAGTTATATTTTTAATGTAATAATCTGTTAGCTAGAGGAAGCTGCAGGTCATAATAATGATGTTAAGATTAAATAAGCCTGGAACACCTGGAAAATTCTAAAAGATTTGACGTCACATATTCTGGTACATTCCAGAGTAGGTTATAAATACGTGTCAGCAAAGCATTGAAAAAATGGTTAAAAAGATAGAGATTTGTTTCTAGCAGAGAAAGCGAATTAATTAGTATATTTCGTTGTAAGTGAAATATTTATATCTGCGTTAGCTATCGAGCATATAGAATTACTTTGTACATTATTTTTCTTACATTTATGTCATGCAGTTAGCATACTTTGTAAACGCGTTCTAACAATTACTTCAGAGCTTAATCTTGTAGAAACGTTAAAAGATAAAATATACAAACCTATTACGTGAACTGAACGTTGAATTATTTTCACAGATAACTTAAAAGAGCCCCCCCCCCCAGTGGCACAGCGGTATGTCTGCGGATTTACAACGCCAGAAACCGGGCAGAGCACAGATAGCCCTTGTGTAGCTTTGTGCATAATTAAAAACAAACAAACTTTAAAGAATCTACACAGAAGAATAACGTTACAAAAATTTAATGACCTTATAGGAACATTAAGATGAATTTAAAAATGTGCTAATATGGAAACTAGTTCTGGAGGTGCTTTGGAATTTTTCTTGTCACATCTATCTAGAAGTAACAATATCTTGAACAATGTATAACGTATATATACATACATACTAGATGTATTTCCGCAGGGTCCCTAAAAGTGTTCTGTTTCAAGAGCAAAGCCTACAGAGTGCATAATTCTTCTCGTCGTTCATGGCATGCGCATGTTTTACTGACGTCACAACAGTACATATTGCAACATGCTTAATGTAACGTAATTTTAGTGTCTACTGATTGAGTTACAGACAACACACTACTGTACAGTGGTGCGAGTGGTTAAAACAGGTGACCCCCTACACGCAGTCATCAGTCCCCTACTTTTGGGGAAACAAACTGAGTTGATGTTCTCGATGTTTTTTTTACTATAGTAGCAAGCAGTCTAACTGATGGTAATGTTAAACTGCTCTCAGGCTCATGTTTCAACACATTTATTTAAATATCTAGTTCAGCTAATGTTAAAAGAAAACAAGTTACTATAGAACTTTTAGTCCAGTTGATGACAAATAAACAATGAACTGTCTTTGTTTTATTGACGTATGTAATAATGACAGGTAACATCTTGACGACCAGACAAACTAATCAATAAAAACCTACTACATTTCTTAACATGGCGCCCTCTTTATGTATTAACTGTAACCATCGAGAGATAATATTTTTAAAGTTTGTTTAGCTCGATGAACAATTTTATGATATTGTTTTTCAAATATATAAATAATCTTATTAAAAGTTACTAAAGTCAGATATTGAGTAATGTGAATACAAACCATAAGCTATATTTAAAGACTGGAATCAGAATCGAGGTCTATAATAAGCACACTAAAACATAAATTTATAAACACACTCACATAAATAAGTTAAACCTTTGAAATAATGCTAAAGAAATAAAAAATTCATATTCAAATAAATGATAGAGTAAAAGATAATTTTGCTATATACAAAGTTATTTAAGGCTCAGACCTCATGTAAAAATAAACACATCGATAGGCCAGATAAGTGTTTCAGCAAGAAACTATACGGTTTTCCCTTGATGCAATACCGAGTAGTATTTTGATTCAGAGTATTTAAATATATATATAATATAAGCTATTTCAGAGCTTATACGTGTTTAAAATACTCAATAATGGGAGTTGCAGAATTAAGTTCCATTTAAAATTCAATACATTGACTTTTATAGAAAAACAATCTTATTTTGCTGTTGTGATGGGTTGAAAGTTAAATCGCATATAACGTCAGATTATATATGTTTAGAGCCCAGTCAATTAAACTGGCTGATGAAAAATTAATACTCAGTTTATACAGCTCAGGGTAACGTTTATGAAAAATAAATCCCATTCAACAAGATAATGCATAATTTGTTGTAATTGAAAACTCAAAGAGAGCCAGAATATGAGGTAAGCGAAATAAGTTATTAACTTTGGTAACATCAATAAATATTGTTAACAGAACTTGGGGAAAATTTACCCGAATAAACAACTATAAAAAAGTAAGGAAAGTAACTTAAACTAGCCAACTATTACTTTATTTTTTTGGAAAACCTGGGCAGCGTGGATTCTTTACGAAGAGTGCTTGAAGTGGCCTACAAAGCGTCATTTACAAGTTATGGTAACACGTATAAATTAATCCAGTTCTGGCGGGCGAAGCGAGACAGGTCTGTGTGTAAAAATTGGAATAAAAGCGTTTTTCACAGATGCGCTATACGTATTAAGCCATACCGATGCGATAACTGTACGATATCAATATCTACTCCTAAACGTTCTTATCTATTCAGACCAAACTTGGCATGATAACTTAGTAGTCTAAAACCTAAACAAATTCGTATTAAACTTTCCCATATCTTGAAAAGATAAGCAACGTTATCTTCAAGGAAGACCAGAGCCTGATTGAAGATTTCTTCGGTATAAGCAACATTCTATATTTCACTTGATGCAAAATGTCTTCTGCAATTGCTTCCTTATGATTGTCCCATAATTGCATGAGATTTGATAATCCACATGTTCTTACCATGATAGAAACAAATCTCTTAAATTGTTTGGTGATCTTACTAATGCTGCTTCTTTCAGAGTGCTATTCTAATGAGAATCATCTTCTAGAAGGCCAAGCTTCTCGAAATGTGGTACACTTCTGTTCATTAATGATTCTTAAATTGGCAAATGAAGTGGGTCCTGGTATATCATGCAGCAGAAGTCTGAAGAAGAAACATTCAAGGTTTTTGGATGCACAGTATAAGCACGACCAATTACATCATATTTTTTAATTACTGGATTCCCATAAACTGGAGTGCCTTGAACTCTACGTTTAAATATTATAGTACTTGCATTCCATATATGGTAAGTGGAAACTTAGTAGTAGAATATTGTTTTAGCAAAGTCATCTTCTTGACACAGTTCAAAGAAGGCCATTAAAGTTGCTCTTGGTGTTTCTGCAGTCCTTTCTATCATATCTTCCTCTTTAAAATACACTCATTGTCCATTTTCCAGGTGAACACTTAGATGAACTACTGATGAATATCTTTCATGTATTGGGAAATTGAGAATTCTCCAGATTGCTTCGTTAATGCAGATGTATCGGCCTGTCTCGTACTTCTCTATTCATTCTGGTTCTTTTCAAAACCAAAGACAGGTTGATCACTGTCCTTGTTGATATTCTTGCTTATGTACTTTATGGATTTCACAGAATTGCAAAATTCAATATTGAGATGAGCATTGAAAATCTTGGAGATTAATGACAGTATGGGACAATCCATTTATTGTCAACAGTTATTTCTTCCCCTCTTAATTTTATAGCAGATAAAAATCCTTCATACTCAGATGCACGTCTTCTATAAAGAGGATAACTTTATTAAACTTTTAGGATATTGTTTTGTGCATTTTCCATCTTTCATACATGAAGAGTTTGGATTCAGTTCTCCATATGTTCCACGAATCATATGCTTTTTTACTATCTGAAAGAGCTGAGGATCTCCATTTGGATCTGGCAATTCTTCACATATTACGGAATCTATTTTGGTTTGACCTAATTTTTATTTGAGCCAGATCAGTATGTGAACATGTGGAAGTCCATTTTCCTACTATTCAACTAAATACATGTGGCACTGAAGTGGACCAAAGCAGTTTCCCCTTGTAATAAGGTCCAACAATTTGATTACCTTTTGCCTAAAGACTCTTGCCAGGATATCATGCTTGTCTTGTGTAGTTTGTCCAATAAACAATTCTTCAGTGATGTCTTTCCAAGATTAATTACAGGTAAGTGTGATAAACAGGTCAGGTATACCATAAATTCTTACACATGTCATGGCATCTTGGGTACGCTCATGTATATAGGGGCGCCAGTAAAATATTATGGTAATATTACTAACTGTCCAGCAGTAACATTGTTACCGTCATTTTCAATGGCATCATGCAAATGTAATCATCTGCTCTAAGTTTTTCTAGTTTGATCGAATATAGAGAAGGCTTTCTGTCTGAATTTTAGCATACATGTCTACTACAAATTGGTAAATGAGTTGACAACAACGAAGAATATTTTAAAAACTTTTTCCCTTACCATTAACCTATATTGCATAGAAATCATTGGCAGATACTTTTTTCCCTGAATGAATTGTTCTGTAGTTGGATTGAACCGTCATATTTGGAAAGGATATCCATCTTGTCCTTCCCAAAAATGATTCAATACTTTAGTGCATCATATGATCTGAGGTTTTCTGCTATCCTTTGGAGTTGATTGTTTCTCGGATGAAGAGCTACACCTCTCCTTCCAAAATTTTGACCAACAATAAGAATTGCATCTTGATTTATAAGTGATGAATTGGAACGTCTTTGGTGCTCTTCTTGTGGTATTTCGTATGTCCTTATAATCATTTTCATTTGGCATGTGCTCCAAATTTAACTTGAAGCTATGCACATAGTTGTTGCTGGCATGTAACATTTCTTGGAGACCAAATTCAAATAACACCTTCCATATTGCTGCAGCGCTGCTCTGCTTATTCATTATGGTCACCCATGAAATATATTTGCATAAACCTAGATTGCTCCCCTGGTAGAGACAACAGTGAGCCAGCTGATTGGTAGACTTGTCCACAAACTTTGAATGTTCACATATAACCTGGCATCTAGACTTCTGCTCCAAAGGAAGTTAATTGAAAGCATGAATTGTGTTTATGGATGTTTGTAACAAAATGCTTAGAGTTAGCTGACACTCCAGTCAATAGCGATTTAAGTGGTTCTGGCAGTTTTGATTTCCCACCTGAACAACACATACCTGTACTTTCCCCTTCCCATTTCTTAGCTTGGCAATGGGGGTAAACCTTAAACATTTCTCTTAAGTTGATCTTTGAAGACGGTTTGATTCCCGACGGGTGTTCTTTTCTTCTGTTGATTCATCTGCTACAGCTTGTGCATATCGAAAATGATCATATTGTTTTTGTACCTCTGCTTCCTCAGTTGTTTCTTGTATCCTTGCCTTTCTCATCTGTCCGGCCTTGGAAGTGGTTCGACCATTTTTTTTTCTTTTCTTTCGTGGAATATTTGAATGGACACTGTTAGATTCAAAGTACAATATTCAAATTTAGCTACTTTTCAGAGTACTTCCTTTGCTGTGTTTAATTTTCACTGTATTAACTAAGCTTACTTCGTTTCTTATAATCACTTTGTCAGTATTAACTATAATCACTATCACTAGTTTATTCACTATTTTTGTTCATTACCTTATTCCTTCAGCTAATTTAGGCAAATTATATTTTGATTTTTAAAAAACCTATCTTTATATACATTATCAGCATGGTCTAAAACCCTCCAAAACCCTAAGAATGTTCTATTTCAGAATCTTCTAGAAATTTTCTTAATCTCGTCGCAAGAACATTCAAGAAAATGAACCTTTTTCATATCCATTCTGTATTATTGCGTCAAGTTTGTTGCTTATTGGTCAAGAGATAAGGAAAAGTATTTAGTGCAATAACATAGCTTTACTCTACATCTCCCGGATATGAAATTATATGGAAGGTCCAGCCCCTTCCGCATGCCATCCTGTATCACTGTGTCAAGTGTGGTGCTGATTGATCAAGAAATGTTGAAATTTATAAGGAACAGACATACACACACACACACACGTATTGACGTTTATTTATACAGATTTAATGCATTAAATGTACCAAAGTCAAACAGTAGAAATCTTTGCCATATCTCTACTTGAAATGAACTGTCTTCCAACAGTATTCTTAGAGAATGGACACTACCGGAAATCCTTGTACAGATTTTCTAATTGTTAGCAAGTCTGTGCGTGCTTTCCATTTTTTCAAGAGAAACAAGATGGAAGAGTGCAGTATTCTTAAAATAAATAAGTGCATCACAGGAGTTTCAAAAAGAAAGCCCTTATGGACTAATAGTTCACTTTTATTTGTAGATTTTAGTCGATCTTTCGGGCTTTTACAAAAGGCAAAGTTGGGTATTCAATTTGTTGCTCAAAAATTTATTCAAATTGCACATCTATTTAATTATAACTTTGTTATGAATTTCATGATACTTCTAGAACTATAGTCACGTAATAAACAGACATGTATCCTGCGTATTTTAATAAATAGCTCTGCCCATGATTGTAAACTTCCTTCAAAACTTGATAGGTGGCTGGAGAGGTAATTTACTGCTATTTCCCAACAGAAATATTCATACTGCAAGGTTTTTAAGCGACATAGTGCCAGAGGGCTTGATATTCCGAAGAAAGGAATGTTTAACCTTTTTTTGGAAGCCAAAATTTGAAAAGCAAAATGTTCCAAACGTCAACGGACTTCTAAATCATACCGAAAACTAATTATTTTAAACTCTCTAACCCATAAGAATTAAGGCTATGATAGCGGAATCCTCTGATCCAAAAGGCCCGGCATGGACAGATGGTTAGGGCGCTCGACTCGCAATCTAAGGGTCGCGGGTTCGAATCCCTGTCACACCGAACATGCCCGCTCTTTCAACCATGGGGGCGTTATAATGTGACGGTCAATCCCACTATTCGTTGGTAAAATAGTAGCCCAAGAGTTGGCGGTGAGTGGTGGTAACTAGCTGCCTTCCCTCTAGTCTTACACTGCTAAATTAGGGACGGCTAGAGCAGACAGCCCTCGTGTGGCTTTGCGCGAAGTTCAAAAACCAAAACAAAAAACAAACAAACTGATCCAAAAATCTAATGAGACTAAGCTGAGCATATATTTTGATACCGTTAACAAGGTAGTAAACAAGATGTTTTTAAAGCTTTCAGGCACATCTTGAATACAATTATTATTGTCATAATAAAAACAGATGAGGAAACAATAATCATGGCAATATCTCTCGACCACATACATACCTGTCAACTACTCCGATAGAGCTCTAACCGACTTCTGTATCATTAGGACAGCTTGTGGGAAGAATGGGACGACACTGACACGACAATTGTTAGAAGAATCTAATCTCATAGAAATATCACTGCAAAGCTACTGCTAAAAAACAGAATAAGTAGAAAGAAATGATAGTTGGGGAAATACGGTCTTCACTACTAGTATGTCGAACTTAATCGTCGTTTAAAAAATGTATCTAAATTTCCTTCCCTAATACTTATAAATACATTTACTGTTCTTTCTTCTTCTGTTTCATAAACACCTTTCATAGACATAACTTAAAAAGTACAGCAGTTTTCATCACTCATCATATACATAGGTAATTATTTAAATTCAAGTTTTTTAAGAATAAAGTCGTTATGTTTTAGTGTTTATTGTGTTCAAGCAATCTTATTATTTATTCTGCGTTTTTCAACAGGTAAAAGTTTTACGTAAACAATCGGTTGTTTACAACGATGTGTTTCAAGTGTTAAATTGTGGCAACCAAACTTAAATCAAGAATGTAATGTTGGTATTTACAGCATTGTGAAAAACAGGCGACAGAAATAACTTTGTATATAAGATTATGCTCCACTTAAATACACAGGCCATACTCATACAGCCGCAAATGAAGTTATTATATACATACAATCATATATATATATATATATATATATATATGCTATACT